ATCCGGATGTATGACATAATCAAAGTGTTTTAAAGACTAGAAGACTTTTAGAAGAAAACGGCCAATAAACATCTGACTCTTTGATAAATGAAAGTTTGAAAATACAGTTTACTTGCTTTTGCCAGTAAAACTGCTCACTCCTACAGATAACTCAATTTTTCCTTCAGGTCTTACGTCTTCGCTTATTGAAGCATCTTAGATTATTCTTTTTCAATAATTTATAGGACTAGTAATTTTTTCTGCTGAAATCGAGCCGATTCAAAATTCTATGCATGACAGAAGCTATCAAACTCATCCTAATTTATTACCTCCTCACTTACATTTTGTACTTTGAGTAATCATTCTTTCGCCCTCTCTCTCTGATCGATATTTCTTTCTGAATTAAGGTATGATGGAAATTATGAATGAATCATTGTTAGACTATCACAATATTAGCAACCTGGAGGCATTGAAAGACGGCCATTTCATCCTACTGTGGGTGTGGCAGTACGCATACACGACTCCTGCTATGAACCTAAGACTTCCGCTCTCATGCACGAACCCCTGACCTCTAGATCACCTAGCTGGCATCCAACTTTGTTGACGTCTAACCCTAACTTGACATATTAACGTATCCAGTTTAACAAAATGTACATCAAGCCATATCAACATGTCAACAAAAATAATTTCATTTCACAAACAGTCCTAACGTCACTCATGCTTCAATTTGAAATAATGTAATCTACACTAAACCTAATCATAATTTTTGACGGGATTTTATTAGTTTCAATGCTTACGCAAAACATGAATTGTACCCCACTTTTTTTAAAATTTAGTTGTGTATCCAGACACATTTTAACCAGTGTTCAACAATTGTCAGTCACATTGTCAATGACATTGAACATTGACAAATTGTTTAAATTGATACTCTATTCAACATTCATTAATCATTTTATTAGTTTTCATTTTTAAATTAAATAATTGAATTTTTTAAATGCTTGTTTATGATGTTTTCTCAAGTTGACTTTTTCTTGTGTGTGTGCGTTTTTCTATCTCATTCAATCTTCAATGGTAAAGAAAACTATTGAATTTTGAACGTTACAAAAAAATGTCAAACTAGAGTTTTGAATTAAAAATTCAAAAATGAGTTTTTAATTTTTTGTAATTAATAAATAAACACATAGCTATTAGACAGATTTTTTATTAATAAATAAGGTTGAGATTGAGTGCAAATTAATTTCACAGAATATAAGATTTGTAGTAATCATTTAACAGAAAATTTTTACACTAAATCGAATTGAATTTTGGTAATGAAACATTAAGTGGGGAGGAAAATTATTGGCTAGTTATTTTGTTTTACTATGAAACTCTTGAAATTTATCTGTTTTCGTGAAGTTTTACACAACAGTAAGTCATCATGGATTAGTTGAAGTTACCTAATCTAATATAATTGACCTACACGACCCACGACGGTAAACAGAAGTAGGTAAGTAAACTAGAAATAAGGTACCAAGTAAGAATGGCGGAATGAATCAACAGCCAAGATGGTTGGAATATGTGTTCCACATGCCCAACCACCAACTAGCCACCTTGAAGAACGATACTCTTTAGTATAGGAGAAGGGTAGAAGAAAGTTATGAGCGGCTACATCAAAACATAGCACGAGTCCATTTAGTCATTGATAATTGAACAGAAACATGATAAATAGTGCAGACTACCTGGTTTTAAAATCACCATTCAATCATTGTTAGAAACCTGGAAGCACTGGACAGCCGTTTAGTCCTGGTATGGGACTCATCAGTGGCAGTGCGCATCCACGACTCCTACACCTCGCAGGATTGATTGATGGTTTCAAATGTGTAAAAACACAAACCCCCGAAACTCTGCCTGAAAATACCTGTTTTTAGTCTTTCAGACAAACTTAAACGATCGTTAAAAACCTTAAATGTTATAGCTTTGCACAGTTTGCAATAAAGCAGGTGCATCCATTCTTTGTCTTCTCTTAGATCCTAATCCTCTGAATACTTCATCACCCTTATCTTTCTATTTTTAAATTTATTCCACTGAACTATACTACTTGAATTGTATCTTCGAACTCTAATCTCTCGGATTACTACTAATATTCTTACTACCTCTACTACTATGGGATTTAAACTGACAATTCAACCTCTTTGTGCTAATGTGATATGATAACTTGAACTGATATACGTACGCAAGTATGGAGTTCTACATTGTAGCTGACCGACTGACTAACTATTTCACATGTCAGCTTAGTGAATACACACTAACGAGTCACCAAACTACTAACGACAATACAGTTTGATTGATAGGATTCAATTACAGTTAACAAGGATTTCAATTGACACTTCTATGGTAACTTGAACTAATGTACGTACATAGGTACCACGTTCTAAACTGTTACTTAAATATCATATACCATTATAGTCACATATACAGTTCAAATTGAATTAATTTAAAAGATTTGTTGACATCATTTGTACTGAAAGATCTTCAAATTGACATTTGAATAAAATTGACCATTGAACAACATATCCAATCAGTTCGTTATCATTCGAGACACACAAAAATATACAAACATTCAAATGTCATACAGGGATTTATTTATCCCATAATTGACTTATACAATCAAATGACTAAACAACTAACCAAATCGGAGTATGAAACTCCATCATAATGATTCATTTCTGAGCTAAAAATTTTCTCCACCATCTCAAAAATGTTAATCCCTTTTCACATACACATCTGAATACATATTTTGCCCCCAAATCATTGAAAGAACTTAATAAACCTAAGCTGTAAAATGTATGTACACTGTTCACACTTTCAAAATAGTGTATACATGTGAAATAGTAGTTCGTCTCATCTATGAAACTTCACCTGAAACCCCTCAGGGGCTACTACTACCAATCTCAAGGAAGAGAGTTGAGCATGGGGTTAGTGTTTCTATCGCCCATAAAATTAACTCTCTCTCTGGAAAAAACAGTTAATGAGAAAGACAAACAGTGTATAAATGAAGATAAACTTATCCTTTTAATTTAACGAATCGAACTCAACTTACCCGGTTGTCCTGAAAAAGTGAACAAGATTGACAGAACAATGAAAAAGAGATTGATTAGTTTCTGTGATATATGATAAGCATAAGTAATAAAATGTGTGGTTTTATTTGGTTCAAATTTTATCGATCTTTGAATCATGTTTGAAGTCGTAAAATCGATCAATGTTAGACGACCGTTAAAAGCCCTCACAAACATTAGACTCATTAACAGTGTGCCTCCATGACTGAGCAAGTTTGAATCTAACCGTGTACGTTCGGTCTCGTACGTGAATCCTTACACTATAGACTGGTAAGTTGGAATCTAGCGCTAGCGGAGTCTCATTTCAATCAATCCGTGATGTCCTCGAAGAGTAGATGACTCATACTCAATACGGTTGAACTCCGCTGGTCACGAATTCTCACTAGAACTCTGAGAATGTTCCCACGAATGGTTGTGGAAATTGTCTGCTTTCATGGAAATCATGAACTAATCAATTTTAGAACATTCTAATAGAATAAAAAATGTACGATTCAGTCCGAACAGTTTTAGTCTAAGCTTTGAAAAAAACGAATCTAGAAATTTCACTAAAGAATAATGTATTGTATCAAGAGGAAACCCTGCCTGGAGCTCCACCATGACTGTTGCAGGTTTCAAGCTTGGATAAAGGAAAAGGGTTTGATATAAGGGTTAGAGACCCTAACCCGTAGAAAATGAACTCGCGATAAAAACGCTAATAACGAAATTGTCAAGAACAGATAATTATCAAACAATGAGTTTCATTTTATCAATCTGGTTATTCCTATGGGGAAAACTTTCGTTTTGAAACAGAATTCACTTTAACTATGTAACTGAAGGTTAACGTTGAATGCTATACAATATCAATAGTGTATAAATGTAGCGCAGTACTGACAATTTTTTCATTAATCAATAAACTAATGACTTTATAAAATAATCAAAAACGAGGAATAAAATCATAACACATTTTCTAACCCTTGTGTGATGGATACTACTTACAGTTTGGCTTGCAAGTAGTTTTTGTATGAATTTGAAAAAAGTTGATCGCCGTATGTAACTCATTGTAATGAAAATGCAGATTATTATATTCGGCTTTGAACTAAACGTTAGTTGAATAATTAATCAGTCAGCGGAAGTGAACTACGATAAGTTAATACTTTTGTGGTGAATACTACTCACAATATGCCGTGTAAGTAGTACGCAGTGGAGTATCACCTTCAAGTTACTACTGAAGAGAAGAATATTGGATGCGAAGGCATGATGCATTTGAAGTATTTTGAAGACCAGATGACACTACTATTCATACTACTACTCACACTACTACTATTACTATTACTGCTAGTCAAACTGAAGTAACATATTCGTTGCAAAACTAAGTAGTCTACCTATTCAACAGATAAAATTTTGTTAGTATGGACTTGACATTTATTCATATGAAGCTCCGTCTAAAAAAACCAGTATGGAATTTTAACTGACATTCAATAGTGGGAAAAAGCGCGTTCAACATTTCGGTTCAAGTTTTAGTACTCATTAGCTTGAAATGCCTACATCCAGCTACCTTCGAATGGAATTCGTTGAACTGTATACCCAGTAAATATCTACTCCTTATTTGAAATTCATCACGTGTAAAACCACTTAATGAAAATCATAAAATATGTTCACTAGTGACTAATTTCGTCGGCGAATTCTCAAAGTTCCAATGAGACATTGTGACCTAGTAAAGTTTAATGATGTCTGGTTATGAGCAGAGTGAGTGAGGTTAAATCATACTTTCAACTGAATAACATCACTGGAAGCCAGGTCAATGGTCTAGCGTTTAGGCGTTCGCGCACAAAACCAAACATTCTAAATTTGGTCAGTGACTGCGCACCACCAACCAGTTCCATCCTAACGATGAAACAATCACCCCAAAGCTTACAAATTTCTAAAATAGTGATCTAAAATGGATGCATGAACGTAACTACTACTACTACTACTACTACTACTACTACTACTACTACTACTACTACTACTACTACTACTACTACTACTACTACTACTGCTACTACTACTACTACTACTACTACTACTACTATTACTACGACTACTACTACTACTACTACTACTACGACTACTACTACTACTACTACTACTACTACTACTACTACTGCTACTACTACTACTACTACTACTACTACTACTACTACTACTACTACTACTGCTACTACTACTACTACTACTACTACTACTACTACTACTACTACTACTACTACTACTACTGCTACTACTACTACTACTACTACTACTACTACTACTACTACTACTACTACTACTACTACTACTACTACTACTACTACTACTACTACTACTACTACTACTACTACTACTACTACTACTACTACTACTACTACTACTACTACTACTACTACTACTACTACTACTACTACTACTACTACTACTACTACTACTACTACTACTACTACTACTACTACTACTACTACTACTACTACTACTACTACTACTACTACTACTACTACTGCTACTACTACTACTACTACTACTACTACTACTACTACTACTGCTACTACTACTACTACTACTACTACTACTACTACTACTACTACTACTACTACTACTACTACTACTACTACTACTACTACTACTACTACTACTACTACTACTACTACTGCTACTACTACTACTACTACTACTACTACTACTACTACTACTACTACTACTACTACTACTACTACTACTACTACTACTACTACTACTACTACTACTACTACTACTACTACTACTACTACTACTACTACTACTACTACTACTACTACTACTACTACTACTACTACTACTACTACTACTACTACTACTACTACTACTACTACTACTACTACTACTACTACTACTACTACTACTACTACTACTACTACTACTACTACTACTACTACTACTACTACTACTACTACTACTACTACTACTACTACTACTACTACTACTACTACTACTACTACTACTACTACTACTACTACTACTACTACTACTACTACTACTACTACTACTACTGCTACTACTACTACTACTACTACTGCTACTACTACTACTATTACACTAAACATTGATAATGATAACTGTGCACTTACTTCCACCAGCATGACACTTCTTCAGTAGTACAAATAGGATGATCAATAAATTTAACAGCAAATAATTCCTTGTCTGCATGACTTATAATAATTAATACAATTTAAAAATAAGAAGGAGTTTGATTTCACAAACTGTCGCAAATCAACGTGGAACACAGAATTGCTTATCTGCTGTTTTTTGGGGTTTTAAGATATAACACGTTCAACATATATATACATATTTGCTAATAACTGCTGAATCTATATATAAATTGATTGAGCGTGTTACGTCTCTCTCTCTTTGTCATGTGATCAACAACAGCAAAAAAATACACGAAAATTGCTTTCGACTTATCATGAAAAAATATTTTTATGAAGCAAATTTCAAAATTAAACTTCTTTACACACAGTTTCACTAGGTACAGAATCACTTCTGTCAGTCAATAATCAGTCATACAATACAAAATGTGACTTGCCTATGTTGTGTTTTATTTCTCTCAATCGTTCACACTTACACACACACACAGTTAGTAATATAATACAGAAGCACAGTGAGAAACTGTACTTATTCATCACAGAGAGAGTGAATAAGTAAGCTGATTTATCTGCACATTTTACACAATCTTCATTGGTTGTTTGTTTGTGTAATGTGACGAGACTAATTAATTATGATTCATGAGAAAACTATTTTTCACTATTTACGTAACAAAATCGAAATGCATCATATCTATTTTACGTACTTGTTAATTTTGTTGAAAGTAAACTCATTTTGAAAGTATCCTTTTTTTTCAATATAGTTTCAATGATCAATTACCTAGACTACCTAGATGAATCTTACTGTGTCATTGCAAACGATTCTGAGCCTTATCGTTCAAGGTCTCTAACCATGAGTGATTTTCATCTCGCTGACCCCAACCAGATAGTTTACATCTACCAACATGACTCAGTCCATTTGTTGTCAGTGACTTCATGGATTTGTGCCATGTTTTGGTCTGGCCGCCCCTAACTTTCTTCTTCCAGCCTACTCTGTAGATGAATGGATTTTGTGAGAAAATGAAAAATTAACATCCATGGATTAGTTCTGACATTAGACGTAATGTCGCTAGGTTAAGATTTTGTTTCAGGAGTCCGTGTTTGAATTCAATGTTGAAGAATAATATCCGTTTATCGATTATCGACAACATGCTAGGACAAGATACATTACATACAATACGTTAAGCGTTTTACAAAATCATTTCTATTACCTTGATATTTTTTAATTTCGTAAATAAACCTGAAAAATATCAACCGTTTTCGATTCATTCGTTCCAGAAAACCTTTCTGTAATTCACTAATGATGGTGTGATGTACAAACAAGTCCGGTATTTGGTGGTTAACATGTTTGCGGAAGACAGCATTTCCTAACAAGATATGTGTTTGAATATTTATCCAATATCCTAAGAGATTTATTGGTCAATTCCTATTGGTTCATTCCTACTGGTCAATTTTATGGTTGTCCTGACGATCAATGTCACTTCAAATGTTGCTTCCTATTGGTCGTCTTAACTGTCAATGTCACAGACTTCGATGCTGTTTCCTATTCAACCTAACTGTATAAATACGCATTATCTGTTACGTTTTCTGACCCGAATCCCTAGTCCGGGAACCTCAAAGTTTCTGGATGCTTGTAGAATACAGGTTCTATTTCATACCAAGTCTTCTTATTTTTCCTCAATATGGGGGTTCGGATAATCGGATTTGAGTAGCATGTCGTGTCGCCGGATCCTCGATCCTCGCTCTCGTTTTCCGACTAAGGTAAACTCGTAATAGTTCAAGCATATCAAAATGATGTGTTAACGTGCAGGCGTAACATTATGTACATCTTATCTTTAAGTATTCCATCTCTCTTCGCCTACATGTCTTTTAGTCTTTAGACTACACTGATCATGTCATACAAGGTGCACTCTCTTTTTATTCTTCTCCCTCTGGTTATCACTTTTAGGCAACCCTATTATGCTACATACTACTTATATGCTAATTTATGAAGAGCACCCACCAAAACTGTGTGTGTGTGTGTGTGTGTGCGTGATACAAATTCCATGATAAGAAATTGACTTATGCAAAAAATCAATTTTTATTTAAATGTTCATGATTATAACACGTAATTAGTAAGTATTTTTCACAATAATTATTGTCGCATAAAACTGTATTCTATTTTGGTGAACATACCATTCTGTTAGAAAATTATGGCAATCATGTTGCATATTTCAGTAAATAACTTGATAGACAGATGGATAATATAGAAAGAAAGATCGAAATATACATAGATAGATAGATAGATGTGTGGATAGATAGATAGATAGATATTGTACACGTTTCGCAATCAATAACTTACTTATTTACCTACCTACTTACTTACTTACTTACTTATTCACTTACTTACTTACTTACTTACTTACTTACTTACTTACTTACTTACTTACTTACTTACTTACTTACTTACTTACTTACTTACTTACTTACTTACTTACTTACGTGCTTACTTACTTACTTACATACTTACTTACGTACTTACGTTGGTTTTCTTGAAAACCAATGTAACTGTTTACGTGTTAGCATTTCAACATCAACAGTTCAGCTCAATCCCGTGGTGCAATAATCACACCGGTACCTGATACCCTGGTGGACCATTCATACCATTTATATAAACTAGTATAGATACAGTGATTATTTCCGATCCATGTTCGTTTCGTCAATCAGTACGCACCGCATGAACAGACCATTTCGAACCATCCCGCTTACATGACTGTCACAAACACATGATTATTAGCAATGGTGATATGCAACAATACAACACCTACCCCCTCCCGATTGTCAATGGCTCTCGGAAATGTTGCAAAATAACCACTAGGATCAATGAGACCGGTCACCCTGCTAACCAGTTTTGTAGGTGGACTGTTAGCGATGCTTTCCAAACAATGCCAAGCCATCCACAGTGTTCACAGCGAACCTCTGGTCTCATAGGTAACCTTCAGCTCTGTATAGAAGTATAGCATACACATATATGCCGTAGGATAGTAGAAGAGGCAGCTAAGCTTGATGCGAATAGGCCCAGACACTCCTCCTAACCCTGTGTTCCATGTCCAGTATTGATTTCTTCGCAGTTCCGAAATTTCCATTTATCAACCATATGAAATCTAAGTTAAGGGTAGTGTCCCTACTTACTTACTAACTTCTGTCTGTTACAGCTAATGTAACTTCCGTGGTCAATCATCAATCTTCAAACAACCCTGACCTTTGTTCGCCTGCTATGTCCTGCTATGAGAAAACTCATCAACAGTGCACATCCACGACTCCTGCCTCTGGCAGGATTCGAACCCGGGACCTTCGGTGTTGTGCGCGAACACCTAACGTTTCGGTTCACTGCACAGGGACCTGATGGTGTTACTGTCTTACTCTGACTGATCTAGGGATTCTGCGTGACCTAACCCATTTGTCTTTGGTAGTTACTGCCCTACACTCGACATTGTAGAACTCCACTGGTCCACTAGTCCGTCCAGTGCTTCCAGGTTTCTAATAGTGGTCTAACAATGATTAATTGATGATTTCAAATGTGCATAAGTTCTTTACCAAACTTCCTGATGAATATTAAAGTACTCAACAATAACATTCTTTTAACACATTGGAATCATCAATCAATCATCAATCAATCAAACCACTATTAGAAACAAATAAACACTGTACTGTTGTTTCATCTTGGAGAGGGACTCATTATCAATGTGCTACATCCCTGACTTCCGTTACTCGTTGGATTCATACACAGTACCTTTGGTCTGGCGCGTAAACGCCTAACCTCTAGACCACTGGGCTGGTATATAACCGTTTTAATGTCTAGCTGTGATCAATCTCAGGATTCCAAGCACTAAACTTGATATTGATTGGTTGTTGTCGATCTTAAAACTGTATCTGTTTGCCAATTTATTTTGATTGTATCCCCCTTGTGATCTGTTTCTTGATCCTATGTCGCCTATGATTTTTCTGATTGATTGATGAATTGGGTCAATGTCAATGTGTCGGTGTTGATTGTTGACTTCCATCTGAAGTTTGTGCTGGTAATGATGTTGTTCAGCAGAAGAACGATGAAAGCTCCACAACCAAAAAAACATCCAACTCAGAGGACGATGTACCACCACAATTTTCTTGTTCTTTCTGTATTTAGTTAATTTTCTCTCTGCCCTTCATTTTCACAATTATCACCTTGTTGTTGGGGATGTTAGATCCACAGAACTCGCTAGATAAATGCCTTATTTTGTTTGGATTTCACGTTCGCGAGCATGGGCTGATCAGTTGACCTTGAGATTTCGATTCCCACCAGGAAAATCCATGGCTGTGATTGGCTGCTGTGTATTTTAGTTTGCTATTTTCTTAACTTTCTCAAGGACTTTTCTATGATGTATAAATAAACGGGAGTTGTGTGCTTGATTGTATCATGATTGCTAGGTGTTTGTAGAATATACTGTCTACGCTTGTCAAGTATTCTGTTTTGCAGTTTGGGATTCAAGGTAGCCTATCTGGACGCTGGTTCCTTGTCTCTTTCGAGTTTATCGACTAAAGTGAATTTGTGATAGATTCAAGCGTACCAAGTGACGAACATAAAATTTTTTGAGTATGACCAGATTCTTCGTGATGCATAGGGCGCAAAAAATTCATCACAGCAATTTTCAGATCAATTACATCTTCTAACTGTGTTCTATCAAAATTTATAAAAAACGGACTAGTTGTTTTAAAAAGTATTAAGCTGAAGTTTGATGGTGGAATTCAGGATATAAGTTCCTTCCCAAGTGATACTCGTCAGCTGAATTTACCGTTAGTCATTAGAGGTTTGCTAAATGAACACAATATCTGATGTTTTGATGTTCATTCTATAAATCAAATACAACAGCTGTGGTGCGAGCTACTTATAAGTAGTATATGACGTGAACGTCAACGTAATGTCTGGCAGCAGAAGATGGGGGAAGATCAAGAAAGGAAGAGTTAGAACACAATGGAATTTGTATGAAACGCATGAAC